TTTGTAATATTGATTTTGTAAATGTCAAATGAACCTTTCAGAAGGTCAACAGGAACCAGAGTTCATGATGCAAAGACCTTAGTACTTATGTGGTTCTGTCAAAATATTTAATCATTGCTTATTATAAAACTACACCAAGGAAACACTGTTTGATAACTATTTTCCATAATTTGGCTTCATGTTTGCATTACTTAAATCTTAATAACTATGTGTTATAATTCTATATATGTCTGTAGTAGATACAATATTCTGTGTTATAAATGACAGTGGATATATTTTACTTCTTAAATTGTGTGTATTCATTTCTAGCTACCGGTAAATTTTTCTCTGATATGAGTAAATTTACTGAGAAAGTAAAATCCAATCTGACCATTACTTGCCAAGTAATAACATCAAGATACCATTATTCCTCTTTTCCCTTTAATTCACATGTTGCTCCCCAGGGCTGTAATGAAGGTTTAGCTCTGTAAGCTTATCTAGTCTACTTTGATAATATTCTGAGAGGGAAACCTTTCAGTGGATGTATTCTAGACAGGAAACTAGGTCACAGCTTGTTAATCCTTGCGCTGGAGGGGTTCGCCAATGGACAGATATCCAAATAAACAAAGCCCTGGACAAAGAATATGGGTTACGTGGTTTGAAATTGAGATTTTGATGCAGATTATATTAAGAATTCTACAATTATGTTATTAGCTAGAATGTACCCATTAAAAGGCAATTCATGCAAGCCACTATGATTACCGTTAACCTTTAAAAAGTTTTCAGTCTTTTTATAATGAAAAATGAAGACATAGTTTAAAATCTGTGAGTATGGACTAAGGGGTGTGCTCAGCATGGTTTGCTGTATACTCTGAACTCTTAAAAAGATTGAAGACTGATTGCATAAAGACACTTACTTTTGTCCATGACTCTAAAGGAAGGGATATGCTCTTAAAACTTCTTTCTCTTTCTCTTGTGGATTCTGACTCTGCTGTGCTAGGTGAAGTCATATTTCTATATTATAGACTCTGAAAATTACATAATTAATAAAAAGAACAGCTGTGCTAATAGCTCATCCTCTCAAACAAGAAGCTAAAGTGAAGGATTTGACATAATACAATATACCTTTTGTGTGGATTTGTTGGTGTTAAAAAGGATACTTAATTTGCCACTTTTTTGCTGCCATTGTTGCCAAGCTGCAGGTAGAGCTAGAACGCAGAAATATCCTGAGTCCGGTACGTCTAGGCACATGGTGCGCAGTGGTGATCACAGTGTAGTTGTCCTGGATGGCAGCAAGGAAGGTGGAAGAGTGCTTCCCACCCTGGCTCTGAGCCGTGCGTGTGTGAGCAGGGTGCGCCAGCATTGTACCTCTCACTTGTTTGAGAATTGAAAGAGAAAAAAGTTAATCTTTATAAGTATTGTTAGGAAAATTCCCACGTTTATGTCTGTTAAAAGACCAGAAAATGGTGACTATAACTTGAAAATCATTGTCAAAAATGATTGCCTACTCTTAAGAAGAAATACCATTTGAAATTTATTTTGCACTGAAAAGCCAAGGGAAAAAAAGATTTAAAATATTTCTTTGGAATTTTGAATATATGCATTTGAGTGATACTTTGACAGAAGCGGTTATTAATACTTTAGAATTGGCCTCTTCTTTGGTATCTAAGAGTAGTGTAGAGGAAAGGACTTGTGTTCGTGTTTGCATGTGTATTTTATAGATGCTTCAATCAAGATCAAAGTGTGGGTGAGTTCTTTATTCATGTTGTGAAAGCTGCCTAACAATTTTGATAATAAGAGAATACAAGATATCATGGGGTTGTTTTGATGATAATGCAATCTGTTACCTAAAACTAAAATAAAAGCTTACTTTTTCTTTTATATCAAATCAATGAAGTAGTTTTCCACAGATGACTTTTGTCTTTAACATTTTTATGTGTTTATATTCAAAGAAACTTCAAAGGTAAATTCTCAAAGTTTCTTTCAATTTATTTATTCTTTGCATAAATAAAACTTCCCCATTTAAATTTATGCTTATTAAATGGACTCATGTTTCATTCTTATGAACTTCAAATGTTTTTGGCCATTCTAAGTTTAAGAAAAATATAAAAGTCAGGGTGACAAATAATGTGAAATGATTTCAACTCAATAAATTTCTTAGAATATTTTCAAGTCTTTTTTTGTTAACCATTTCTCAAGTTGCTTAATACAGAAAAAATATTTGAGTCTAATGAAAATGTGTGTTCTCACTGAAATAAAAGAAAAACAAAAGGATCCGGTTCCTCTTCCTTTGCTAAGTGATGCGAAGAGACAAGATAAATTGAAGGGTTAAACAGGCATGATCTGCTTGGCTGTTTTTTTAAAAAAATACACACATATAAATATATACATAATTTCTTTGTGGCTTGAACAATAACATTTATTCCTTGAAAATTCTCTGAAATATGTTTGTAATATATAATTGCCTCTTTTTTTCCCATTAAGTTTATTGGTACATTTTAGGCATACAACACAGTTACATTCATCACTGGGATCTTGTACCTTTACATGATGTATCTTGGTTTTTATTTTTTTCCCCATACCCCTGCCCTCCTTTCATTCTCTGTCATCCACTCTTCCCTCTTTACAAAGACTTTGTTTCCATTTTTTTCCTTTTCTCATATTTTTTTCTTTTCCCTTCTTACCTTTCCCTTACCCCTCCCACTTCCCCTACACCTTTAGAACTTTTTTCCGTTACACAATATCAGTTATACATTTTGATCCTTATAATTTTTGATCCTTTTAGTTTTTCACACTAGACAAACTATTTGATATTTATATGTGTCCTATTAATTTCACTTAAGAGTATGTCCTCCATGTGCATCCACTTAGCTATAAATGTCTCTAGTTTCTCATTGTTTATGCCTAAGTAGTTCTCCATTTTATTAAAAAAAAACCTCACATCTTCTTTATCTAGTCTCCACTTGATGGGCAATTAGGCTATTTCCAAGTTTTAGCTATTACTAATTGTGCCGCTATAAATAAGAGTGAGCATATGTCACGGTGGTATGATTCTTTTAATTCATCAATAGAGCTAAGAGACAACTACAATGTAGGAAAAATTTTTTGCCAGCTGTTTCTCAGACAAATGTCTACTATCCAGAATATATAAAGAACTTAAAAAAAAATCAGATCCCCCCAATATAAAGACCTAATTAAAAAATGGGCATCAGAAATGAGCAGACATTTCTCAGACAAAGAAGTAAAAACAGCAAATAAGCATATGAAAAAATGTTCAACATCACTGGTCATTCGAGAGATGCAGATGAAAACAACGCTGAGATTCCACCTCACCCCAGAAGGAACGGCTGCAAGAAATCAACCAACAGCAAATGCTGGCAGGGTTGTGGGGAACCCTTCTCCATTGTTGGTGGGAGTGCAGGCTGGTGCAACCACTGAGGAAATCAATATGGAGATACCTCAGACCTCAAACAACTAGGATTAGAAGCCTATTGTTTTTCTTTACATTTTAAGAAGTATAAATGTCTCTTAACACCTAGGAGGCATCAGTATCAACCTTTTGATAGGATTTTTGTAATACTAAATAATCTTCTACCCATATTTTCCCATCTGAAGATTTAAAGAAAGTTAGCAAGCATAATTTTTGTAGAAGAGTTTACTCTCTGGAGTTATACATAAATACTAAATTAAAGGAATTTCCTGAAATCATTTGTAAAATTCCACTTCTATTACAAAAGTTGGACTTCTGTTTTGGCGAATTGTAGTTTTATTGTAAATTGCACAGTTTTCTCTTAGAATTCAACCACTGTTAAGTATTTCTCAGTCTCTTAGCATTTAAAAGTGATATATTTTGGGAATGTCCTCAGTAGATACATGGCATAAGAGAAATTAGTGATCTTGAAGGCAAAATCCAAAAACTCCCAAATACAAACAAAGGACTCTGGTTTTATTCTTATATCACTTACTTGGTGCATTGAAATCTTTTTCAAAATTGCAAACTAGTTCTGAATTGAATTCTTTCTCTCACTAGTGCCTAGGTAGCCTGCCTTCTTATATCAAGAAACAAGGAAACAGCGTGGTGTGTAGTGTCTTGGCTTCATCCCTTCAGTGTGTAGAGCGCCTGATCTGAAGCTCAGTTTACTTATCTGTGTAACAGATGAAGATTTGATGAGTAAATGAGCTTGTACCTGTGCCTGGCTAGAGAACAAAATTACCAAGACATGATGACTGCATAATAATTGTTATTTTCTTATTTGTTATAATAATTCTAATTTTACATTAGGGAACGTTTTAATTGTTATTACTAACATTGCATTTCATTATTCTAATCAGCCAAATGAGTAGTGCCTGTATTCCCTTCCTGCCATGAAAGCTGTATTATACTATTTTATGTGCAAGTGCCCCCAGTAGGGGACTCGCCATATTTCTAAGTCTTACCCTTATATAAAAGTTGTCAAGCTTGACAATTAATTTTATTATTGTTGATTCATAGTAGTAAACTTTAGACTTCGGGTAAAAGAGTATTTATTGTGTGATGTTCACAGGCTAGTTGTTTCTGAAACGATCTTTCTGTGAACTATTACCAGAATTTTGATGTTTCTTCAGTAGTTCCAATTCAGTATTTATATTTACAGAATCTAGAGTTAAAAGTCTTCATGTATAATTCCTTTTCTTATTCTGAGCAGACTTAAAATCAGGCTTTAGTGAACAGATGGTGTAGTATGTCTAGTAGTATTTATGCTGCTTTCTTTTCTGCTAGAGAGAGTGACTTGATGTTGTAAAGATTATTTTCAGGTTATTTGTTGATTTGGTGGGAAATAGCCATGTTGTCTGTCTGTCTGTCTTTCTTTCTTCCTTTCTTTCTTTCTTTCTTCTTTTTTTTTTTTTGTCCACTGCATTAATATGTGGTAAATGTACTGATTTGAATCATGTACTTTTTCTTCCTTTCAGAAAAATTTGTGCATTTTTAAAACCAAACTTCTCAATTTTGATGTTATCCTCATGTTTTCCTTCCATTTCAGTTTAGTCTCGGTTCCTTCAACTTAGAGAAAGTTGCAAACCCAGCTGAGGTCATCAGAGAAATTATTTGTTACTGCCTGGACAGCATCGCAGAAAACAAAGCCAAGAATGAGCACCTGCAGGAAGCAAATGAAAGACTCCTGAGAGACTGGAATGATGTTCAGGAACGGTGAGTACCCGTGTGCTTGCCTTAGAGAGACCCTGAACGTGCTTCATGTTGCCTAGGTCCAAGTGAAAGGCTTCTGCATACGTCATATGTGTGGACCAGCCTCTATTTAAAACGAAAGCTATTATTTGTGCCTTTTGTGAAATTATTGAACCAAGTTACTAGTGACTGTTCATGAGAGTGTATTCACAATTATGAGTTGTTCAGAATTTGGTAGCACTGACAGACTTAAGAAAAGTAAGTAATTGGGCATTAAGGATCTGAACCCATTATTGTAATATTAATAAAAAATGTAAGCAGCGAGGGTAGGGGTGTGGCTGATGAGCAGGGTGGGTTCTTGACACGTGTGATGCCCTGTGAACTATAAGGAATGCAATGACTTCTAATTTGGAGTCAGTGAATGGCAGCTGCATTACGTGATGTTTGTCTAGCTTAACCAGAGACTTCTTTTGTTTTTCTCATTGAGTTTATTGGTACATTTTAGGTATACAGTGCAGTTACATTCATCACTGGGATCTTGTGCCTTTACGTGACAGGTCTTGGTTCTCATTTCTTCCCCATACCCCTGCCCTCCCTTCACCTCCTCCTCCCTTCTCTATTTGTAAATACTTTATTTCTAGTTTTTCATTTTCTCATTTTTTTTCTTTTCCCTTATCTCATTTCACCTACCCGTCCCACTTCCTCTACACCTTTAGCTGTTTTCTTCTTATTTCACATTGTCAATTATACCAGTAGGATCTATGTACCATTATAGTTTTTTACACCAGAGAAACTATTTGGTATTTATACATGTGTGACTTATTTATTTCACTTAGGAGTATATCCTCAATATGTATCCATTTTCTTATGAATGACTCTAATCTATCATTCTTTATGCTGAGTAGTAGTCCATTTTATATAAAAAAAAAACCACATCTTTATCCAATCTCCAACTGATGGGCAAATGGCTATTTCCAAGTTTTAGCTATTACAGACTGTGGGTGCACATATACCACTGTGATATGATTCTTTCAATTCTTTTGGAAAGATACCCAGCAGAGGGATGGCTGGGTCAAATGGAACCTCTAGTTCCAGCTCTTTGAGGTATCTCCATATTGATTTCCATAGTGGTTGCACCAATCTGCACTCCCACCAACAGTGGAGAAGGGTTCCTTTCTCCCCACAACCCTGGCAACATTTGTTATTGATTGATTTCTTGATAGCAGCCATTCTTTGTGGGGTGAGGTGGAATCTCAGTGTTGTTTTCATCTGCATTGGAAGAGACTTGTAAATTTATCTACAAGCACTTGTAAAAGACAAAATAATTGTGGCTATTTTCCTGACTTTGCCCCTCATTTTTTAATTGATGAAGAAAAAAGCTATGTAGCATCTCAGAAATGAACTTTCTCAAATAAACTAGCCTCTAAGCTGGCCTAGGATATACTTTGCACTGTTCTGTTATGGAAAAGAGGTTTGGAGGAGATAAAATACATGTGTGAACCCTGCTGTCCCTCCCGAGACTATGCGATGTGCTTGTGCTTCTGTGATAACTCTTGCTGTAGTTATGTGGCCTGTGTCTAATAATGCTGATAATGATCACAGCCAGTAATTTTTATTCTTTCATTTAAGCTATTTGCTCTCAAGCACAAGAACACGTATCTTGTTTAGAATCTTTGTATGCCAAGCATTGTGTTGGCTCTCTACAGGACATTAATAAGGGAACAGGGGAAACAAAGCACAGGGTTTTATAGCAATTCATGTATGTATGCCACAACAAAAGTAAAATATTTTTCTGCACACTCAGTAACATTCATTAATTATTGCAAACCATGTAAAATTCAATTGCTAATACCTGGTTATATTTAGTTTTCATTTATTTTATGAAGGAAGTATTTATTTTGTCTTTTAGCTTTAAATTAATTTTATCTCCAATTTTTTGAATAATATGTAAGCCATACAAAAATGAGGCCACTTCAAAGTTTATATATTATAGTGCAATGTAGAAACTAGACTTTTCCCCTTTGCTTCTGTTTTATAGGAATCTGGTTCAAATTTATATATTGCAAAGCATGTTTCAGGCTTATTTTTGAGTGTGGGTGTATTTTTCTATTTTATAAATGAAATGCATCAAATTAAAGGAGGTGCACTATGATCATGATAAGCCATTATATTTAAACTCAAAATATTCTCAGGGTGACAGGGCAACTGATCCACACATTGCCAACGGAAACACAGACTGGTCCTGGGTCCTTGAACAAATTGCTCTAAAATGTCTGCCAGAGGTTGAAAGAGGTATTGTCTCATCAGCATGCAGCAGCACTGGCCTGGAATTGAAAGCAGCAGGGGAAGGGGATGGAGCAGCAAGACAGTCGCACCCTGTGCTGTGAAGCAGCGGCCAAGACGGACACTTAGATTATGTGGAGCACAGATGTTCGATTTGCTCTTCCTGCACCGCCCGAAATGCTTTTGTCTCGCTGTGGCTGGAGATTTCCCTGTGTCCTGTCGCCTGCCTCACTGTGCTGCTCCAGCTGTCTCCTTTGCTGGCGGTTTTCACGCTGGCTGGCATGTGTTCTGCAGGTTCTGACAGTGTGTGATACTGAGGGGAAGCTACAGGCAGGGCTCCAGACCATCCAGGCTGTTGTTTGTTAGATGAGCAGTTTTGTGTCGTTCCCAAATGTGCTTTTCTCTCCTTTGTGAGGAGAAAATGGGCACATTAAGGCTCTGTAAATAAGTCTTGGTCCTGGCCAGGCAGGACTTTCCTGGTGTTCCCTCCCTGGAGTCTTCCTTCCCTGGGAAATAAGCAAAAGAGTTTACAGCTCCAGTTTCCATAAGAAGTCGTATTGACTGAGAGTGTTTGGGGTAGTGATGGTGAACCTTTCAGAGACCGAGTGCCCAAACTGCAACCCAAATGCAAAGTGTCAACACTGCAATTAAACCTGAAGGCCCAGCTGCTGCGGCAACTTGGCTGGCATGTCGACAGAGAGGGCTGTGTGTGTCCGTAGGGTCACCACCACTGCTTTAGAGAGTTTAGAAATGGGACACATGTGTACCGAGTAAGGTAACTGGGCACATAGAGACGAGAATAACTAGGTTTGGGGCCATGATGCTAAGCCCAGCCCCAGTTTAGTTTTCTGGGCAGTGTCTACCCATGATCCATCGCTTCCTCCCGACAGTGTTCCAAATGCACAGGGAAGTGAGGTGGCGTCACAGAGGGGAGAAGGACACAGGGGGATAGGAATCCCTCAGGAGCCAAGGGTCTGGCATATATTTAATGCCAGGTAGAATATGCTAGCAACAAAAACCATTTGTGTAGACACGTGCTCATTAACATAGAGAGTGTTACAATCACCAAAAAATGAATACTAGCCTGTCATTTGCAAAATGTGCTATGCTGTGTATTTATACAAGTATATCTAGAAGGAGAAAATGAAGCGTACTAGTGTATGCAGTGTATTTCTGGAGTTGTGGATACTTTCTCCTTTATTTTTTGTGGATCTTTTTTACATGTCCTTTGGTATTTGAGTGTAGGTCACTATTTCGATCAGAGGCAACTAGAAAGACTTTCCATTGGGTGTGATAGTAAAGGATAAACAAGGCTTGAATGGGAATAAGGGATTCTAGGGTTAGTAAGCAGTGAGCTTTAATGCATGGACTTTAACATGGATATTTGCTGTTATTTGTAGTTAGTTACAATGTACTAATTGTGGTTTTGCTCCATTTTGAACAAGTGGCATTACTGGATTAATTCTGTGCAATTTTAAACATAGTAAGAAACATTAGGGAACTTGTATACGAATAGTCAGGTTATTAGCCATATTTATGTCACTGGATTTTCCTACTTAATTTCAAATAACAGCTCTCAAGTTCCATGTTACTGAATAGGTCTTTTGTTTGCTCTCAGAGCCCAATTTAGAAATTCTCTGGCTTTATTCTGAGTTATAGTTATTAAACCCATAATTGGAGGCAGTTTTCAGTGAATCGAGTTGACACTCGAGGAATCATTAGCAGACCTTGAAAGCTCTTTTACTTTGTCTTTCTGCCTTTGAGATAGAATCATATTATCGCCAGATGAATTCAGTCTGATCTTTTGGAGAACTGGAGATAGCGTCATGCCGTGCTGTAGCCCTTCAGAGAGTTGAGGAGCAGTCACAGCCAGAAATCCTCGCTTCCATCTCTTGGTAATCTGAGTCCTTCATGGCATAGTTGAAGGCCATTTCCTCTTGTTCTGTCATCAGAAAGGGCGAGGAACAGCTGTTCACCATCTTCTTCATGGCTCACGGCCTTATTACATCTTCACCACTGCTTTTTTTCCCCAGTTCTTTTTGTCATTCTTTGGCCTCCCAGTTCTGCTCAGATTTTCTTCTGCTATACAACACTGACCTAGATCTGAATTTGGCCAGGAGTGACTATTAGTATTATGATTACTGCAGTTTTTGTAACATATGCTCACATTTATGTATCTATTGTTTTGTCTTGCACTTTCATTTAATGTAATATTTTATTTGGGGCTTTATTTCTGCATGATATTGCTTTGTCTTTGCTCTTATTTTTTATTACTATTTTATTATTTTGCCACTCCAATGTATTTTATTAACATTTATTGTTTTTCTCTACTTAGTTTTTTTTAAATCTTTTTAAAAATTACCATCTGTTGTTTGAGGCGCTTGGTACCTTGCTGTTAAGGTTACTCCTTAAACTGTTGTCATACTGACTTATGGAAGGATGAAGTGTCTGTCACGAGGCCTTTCCTGTTGGTTGCTGTTTATGGCTCCATCCAGTTTGCCGTGAAGGTGGTCTCTGGACTAGTTATAGTCTGCTCTAGGTACTACTGTTAGTGGTATGAGCTTACTTTTAATCTCACTAGACTTACCAGTGAATCCTCTGTCTCCCCCAAATAAATGGTCTCATCTAATGATTTCTGCCCAAATCTGGAGGCATAGGGCTTTCAGGAAGGCAAAGTAACAAACATCATAATGTTCCAGAAGAGGATTTGCATTAGATAAGATGGGGCAGATTCTATTTATGTCCTAGAGACTGGATATTGAATGAACTCATACCATTCTGTAAATCTGATGACACTGTAATAGGAGTAAATTCGTGTACTATGACTGTTTACAGTATTACTTTATCTCAGCCAACTACCACTCTCAACTTTTCTGGGAAGTGTTGTCCAGTTTGGTGATTAGAAGTTTGGTTGCAAGACGATATTAAAGATTTGCTAAAAACAAGCATGCTTAACTCACCTGATCTTGCTCTGTTACTTTTTTTCCTACCACAGAAATTATGGTATTTTTGATAATGTAGTTTGATGCTGGTAACTAGGTTAACAATATGTTTATGCAAATTATATGAAATTTTATTTTGATATTTTCAGTGTTAGTATTTTATAAAATGTTAACTTTAATAGAATTTTAAGAATTAACTTGATATATATATGTGTGCATAATCTTTCAATCAAGAGTTTTTGAAATGATTTTTATGGAAATTCAATATGGATTGTAACCATAAATTACCAATTGGCTGTCATTTCTAAAAATTTATATAAGATGGTATAATATATACAAGTTACTTATTGTATGTTTTATGCATTTTTTAGCCTTGTGCATGTTTGAGTTTTATAATTACATAGGATGTATTTTGGTGTTATGTATGTATGTTCCATTCTCACATGTAAACTTTGTATTGCTATAGAGAACACTGCATGGAGATGAAAACATGCCTATGTAACACCTTATATCTGAGGCATAAATGTGTTATATTTCCCTGCTTAAAATAAACATCGGCATTCGCCGTACCTCCTCACTTTGGGGCCTAGTTTTTCCAAATTTTGATGTAGTTCTTTTTCATAGAGCTTTTCTTGGTGAAAGAAATGCTGTTCTATTGATACTTTTATAACAGCATTTTAGAAAAGCTGGTGAAGGTGAGAAGTACTGTTGCGGTGGTGAATCGTACCAAGTGAGCATAGAATGTAGTCCAGTCGTGTAGGGCACCGCGGTTCCTCAGGTGACAGTGGACACAGATGCAATGTTAGAGTCATAGGGTCAGAGCAGAGCAGGGAAATCACTGTGGCCTGACGATGTGGCTGCCCTAGCATGGCAACATGCTCCGTTCTCCACAGATTTGTGGTGACACTGGTGGAAAAAGACCTGCGGTACAACCAGCTGTTCAAAGCACAGCACGGTCATATATAGCAAGCACACAGTACTAGATAGTGGTAGTAAACAACTCAGTTACTAGTCTGTTTGCTCCATATACTTTTGTTGTATTTTAAAGTGAACATTTTCTGCTCGCTAAAAAGAAGAAGTCTCTGGAAATTGGTATTCTGTGCTATACCAGTGGTATGCTTGCATGTCTCATATTTAGTGTCTCTTGATTGCATAAAGTAGCCTTGTCCAGCAGTTGACCCTTCCAGTGATGATGAGCCTTTTAGAGCTTTCAGTGGTAACAAACAGCCAGCTGTGGCATGCGTGCCATAGGTTCACCAAACACCAACCTACACCGTCTAGGTTTGTGTCATTATACTCTCTGGTGGTTGTAAAAAGCCAAAATTGCCTAAATGATGCATTTCTTAAAAGGCGTTCCCTTTGTTAAATGACACATGACCACGTTCAGAATCACTGGTTTTCCATTTCCATGCAAGATATCCCTTTTAGACTTCTAGCTCAGCCATTTTCCTCCACAGGAAGGACATAGGCAGCCATGGTGCCCAGCTGGAATGGTGTGATCCTTAAGATCATGGTTCAAATTGCTGGTCACGAAGCTCTACAGATCTAAGACTTAACAATCCAGAGCAGGAAGCATGGCTCCGCTTTCTGCCCATGGGTACCTTCAGCCCACAGGAACATGCCCTACACTGAAGTATCAGCCCACTACACACATTGGCAGGGGTCTCAGAGTAGAAGAGATAAGAGGGGCAGGCATCAACTTCTTAAGAAGGTGGCCTTCTGGTCTTTCTAGGCATCCAAGGAGGTGGGACACGTCCACAGAGTCCCTGCAGACCCCTGTTCAGGAACCCAGTTCTTCTGAAGAATTTATAATGGCTGCCAAGCTGGCAAGACCAGTAATGCAAATAGAAGGCAGGAGTCATTACCAAGGGGAAGAGCTTCAAGGCCAGTCGGTGTGTGGCCTGAGCCAGTGCCTGGCGACTGGCACCTTAGCAAAAGAGTCAAGGAAACCTCATAGCAGGGTGTTGAAAAGAAAAAGTACAGTTCTCCCAGAGACATGGAATACATCAGCAGTAAGGTGGAAAAGAAAGTACATATTTATACATACATACTGCTACTGATGTGTATGTTTGAATAGATAGATACCTATGTAAAAAAGCAGAAGTATAATTAAGCCATGTTATAGGAAGAAAACCAGGGGGAAATAGATCATATTTTAAAGAATATTTTACATGAAATAATTTATAGTTAAATCTATTTAATAGGAGTTTATTTATGGTAAGTATATATACATGTAAATCAAGTATGTGCAACTTCTGCTGGTTTGTTTTTTCAACCTTATATGTCTCTTGGGAGAGTAAACGCAGTACAATCTTCCTTTAGTTCATATGCGCATTGTAGAAAAGTTATAATAGAGCATTTTATAAATTATATCTCAATTTTCTCTTATTTTATAAAATTGAAGATATACCTTGTTTTACACTTGCTCTTTAATTAGTATCTCCTTGGAAATATCAAGTAGGGTACTTTAATTAGATACTTGTGTATATGTTTTTATGCCTATTTGTATGTTTGTGGTTATGGGTCATAGAGGTATAATTTGGTAGGTCATGTTCTTCCTGTGGAGCAGTTTATAGTGTAGAAGGAAAATCAAACAGCTTAAGTTTATCACTTTATCACAAACAAAATCCTGGTTCCTATTCCATAATATTAATTATGGAATAGGAAACAGGCAACATTTGTGCTTTTGAAATTCCTCATATGCAAACATTGCTTTGGGACTGAACCAAAGATATGAATTATTTGTTAGATTTGGGCATTCTAATTTTTTAAAAGTTTTATTTCTACTAGTTTCCATTTTAATCTTTATGTCAGAATATAAATTATGAATACCAACGAGGAATAATTTTTAAGGTTTATTTAGCTCTCTCTAAAGCTTTTGAGTCAGTTAAGGCACATATACAAAATGAGCCTTCAAATATTTCTTGAAATCCTCTTGTGTATTACACTGCATTGAATTAATGTTCAGAAAAACTAAATGACTTGTTTAATTTTTTTAGATTTGAAAAATGTGTGAGCGCCAAAGAAGGCTTGGAGATTGATCTTTACAAGCGGTTTATTCTGGTGTTGAATGAGAAGAAATCAAAGATCAGAAGCCTACATAAATTATTAAATGAAGTTCAAGAACTGGAAAAGAGCATGGAGCATGAAAGGTAGCACTTGCTTCTGGATGAGCAATGCATACATAGGAGTAGAATTTCCTCCAAAACCTCATGAAAGTTAGGGGCCAACTTGTAATACCATGAGATCATGGGCCAGGCGAGCCGGGGATGAGATGGGATAGAGCACTCCATGGAGACCTTTCCAGTCTGCCCTCTCTGTCACCTGCACTTGTAAAGGCAGCAGGAAGCTCACTGAAGTATTATTTAATTAATTTGTAGAGACCACTAAAAAAGAAACATGAATTCAGTCTTTCGGCTATCACTGAAGAGTTCCATGCACATCTGTAACGTTGATGTGTAAGTCATGGTTCACTCTAGAATCAGGTGATAAATATTAACTTTTAGTAAGCATTACTGATGTTCTCTGAGCATGTGGTCCTCTCTCTTCATTCTAATAAATTTTCTGTGAGAGTGGAGGTGCATTTGATTCCAAAGGAAAACTTTCTCTGACAAGTGGCTGGTAGCTTGAAACACATACCATTATTTAGGCATAAGCAAATATAAAAGATTAGCATCTATTTCCCTGAACCCGAGAAGCACAGACTTTGCTAGTTGCAAAGTCTAAGAAACATAATGTTTCATGTCATGTGGTCCTGGTCCAGGTACTGGTCTGGCCCTAATGTCTATTAGTATGTGACTTTGGGCAAGTCCATTGGTCTCTCTGTGTCTCCCTTTTGGGACAAGCAAATGGGACTGAGAATTGGTTCAGGATTATTAAAATACCAAACACTCCATGACCCACAGAGACAATCTGGTAGAACAGTATTTGATATAAAAATAGTAAGTGGTTAAAAAATACTTATAGTGTGTATTCAACCAACATCCAGAGTGTTAAATAAGAGAAACTTGTTCTTAGGAGCGTTCATATGCAGCCTTTAAAGTGGTTTCATCTAAAGCATACTTATTTCACTCTGTGTTTATCTAATTAGGATGCTTTTCTATGAATATTTTCTACAATTAATTAGGGGTAAATCTGATGTCTGACCAAGTGTCAGCCACTGATTTTCAATTCCTCCTTTCTGTTTCTAGGGAAGCTTCATCCAGCTGTGAAATCCCAGCGGCCCGAGATCCCATCTATGATGAAAGTACCGATGAGGAAAGTGGAGACAGGTCTGAGACCTCTGTGTCAGCTCCAGGTGAGAAATACAGGTTTATTTTCTTGGTTAAATATTACATAGCCTTATGCTATTGATGAGACACCACAGTGAAAATTATTATGAAAGAAAAAGATCTTCTACAAAAATTGTGTAGGATTTTTGGTGTGAACCCTCAAATAAAAACTCTTTATTGTAAAAGGCAGCATTTGTGAGTAACAATGCAAGCAAGATGCACACACACACACACACACACACACATCAGGGCATACTATGCCTCATTAAGCAAGGATGTATAAGCGCAGTGTACACCCTCATGCTAAGTGTCATTAGCTCAAAGCTGGTTGCTTTCAGCATATGAATTCCTGTCTAAGGCCACAGATGGGCCACTGTAGTAGGCTCATCCGGAATAGGTTAAAGGACCCTCAACTTGAGGCCTCCTCCTCTTCTCAGGAAAAGGCTTGCCCTGGGGTCACATGGGATAAAGGAGCAGAGAAGAGGAAGTGGCAGTTCAGTGTGGTGTGCTGTGCTTTAGTCCTGCAGATAATGTGTTTGAATCATGGGATCCTTTATGGAGTTTCATGGATTTCTGAGGGTTAGTAAAAGCAGGGTCTCTTGGACTCATTTAATACCTACAAGGTTTTGAGCAAAAGCCAATGTAATATGCAAAAAACAGTAATTCATTCATTTAGAAAATAATTGTGAGTGGCTGTTAGGTCCCAGGAAATTTTCTGGGCAGTACTGAGAAAAATGCTTAATGAGTCAATGTGGAAGTTAAATATTACTCTGGGAAAAAAATGTCAGGATGGGAATAGGGAACAGAAGTGTGATGTGAGCAGGGGATCCTAGAAAGAAGACAAGTCCATCTGAGGGAAAAGAATACCAGGCAGAAAATGAGGAGAGAGGGGGAGAGAGACAGAGAGAGAGAGAGAGAGAGAGAGGGAGAGAGAGAGAGAGAGAGAGAGAGAGCGAGTTAAAAAGGCTCTATTGGCGCTGTAACACAGGCACTGGTGTGGAGAAAGCAGCAGGATGAAGGTCATGGAAGGGGAGACGAGACCAGAGAGATAATGGGCCGTGTCATGTGCAGGGCCTTGGATGCCATAGTTAGGACCTCAGCTTTGAAGGATTGCGGGCTGTTGAGGCTTCTGAAACTGCCAGGTAACTCCCATGTCAACAGCAGCCTGACCACTCTGTTTGGAGTAGAATGTGGGATGGCAGCTGAGGACCGTATAACAGACAGGAGAAGAGGCCACAGTGGGGCAGAGGATGAGGGGAGTTTAGGTCTGAGGAGCAGCAGTGAGCAGGATCTGTTCAGACAGCAGGTTGCCAACGTGATCACCACAGAAGAAGACTGGGAGGAAGCCACCGTGGGGAACGTGCGGCACTGAGATGCAGTGTCCTGAGAGCCGAGTGAAGAAAGTGTTTGGAGGGTGGACAGTGCCCAGCTGAGTGGAATCCTGCTAACGGGCCAGGGAGCAGAGGCTCGAGAACTTTCAGATGGGATGGGGTCAGCGTCCCTGGGGACCTTGGTAGAATGTTTTTGGTGAGAAGGCGGAGGACAGGAGGCCACAGGATTTCAAAGGTAATGCAAGAGAGAACTGGTGATGAGACATCAAATCCAGGCAACACTTCGGCAGGGTTCACTCTAAAGAAAAGAAAGGCAAGGCAGCAGCTGGAAGGGACGCAGGGAGAAAGGAGCGTCCTGGGTTTGCTTCTAGAGGGAAGAAGTAATATGTTTTTATGGCGATGAGAGTGAATAAAGAGAGGGCACATGACGGCAAGGCAGTAGAGGGAGGAAGAGTGGCTGGAATTCTCTCTCTGAGTAGATCCTGGGGGACAAGACCCTTAGCCAGCTAGGGGATGTGTTAGGGTAGGAGCACGACACTTCCTGTCAAGTAAAATGACTGAGGCAGAAGATGACTGACTGTGGTCATGGAAACAGACTGAGGCCGATTAAACTACTGTATTGATTAAAACCAGTTTATTGATTAATGTGACTCTAATCCAGTTTGACTTGGGTCACACAACCACACACACAGACACACACACAGACACACACACACACACACACACTTTTGCCTATGAGAATTAAATTTCATTTGTAGATTGTGCTTGTTTTACCTTTCACCCCATTTGAAATGAAATAATTTTTTAAATAATCAAATGCAGTCAAAAGCTCAGAAAAAAAGAGAACCTGTACTTTTTCCAGTTTAGGCTTTTCAGAAGTTTTATTAAGTTCAGTGGCCTTTGATTTTGTTCTTTATCCAGAATATCTCTCCAACATTTAAAGTAGATGAAAATTATTATTGAAAAGAAAATGTGCGGTTAAAAATGGGTATATGAAAAGGAGGTCTTTTATGTGTTCAGTCTATTTTAAGCAAAGCTTTAAGCTATAATTGTACTATTTTAAATTTGGCAGAATTTTTCTCTTCTCTGAGTTTATTCTGTATGTTTCCTGTATTTTACTTGTCGTTATTTCTTTACCTCATATCTAGTTTACTATATATTTAATACACACATCTCTGGCTCTAATTTTTAGTTTTTGCATTTTACTTGCTTTTGGCAAATTTTTGATGTCAGGAATTAAGAGTGATTTTATTAGAAGTGTAATCTATTTCTTTTCTTTGACATGAGAAAGAAATACTCAGGAAGCTGATGTTTGCAAAGGTACAAAATAAATCTTAGATCTGAAATACTTGATACCGAGTCAGGTACAATATTCCATGGATCTGAGAGGAAAAAAATCACGTATGTTAAATAATAAACCAGGCCCCCTTATAATTTACCATCTTCTATCAAAATAAATGCATTTTTAGTCTATGGTATATTATCTGGTTTTTTTGAGCATCGTTTGTCTTTTGGGCACTCTATAATACAATTTGTTTGGGGCAGAAAATAGGCTTTCCTTCTGAACTTATTCTCCCACCTTCATCTTATAATACAAGTGAATTATAATCTATGCAGATTTATTGCACATACTGCAGTTTCATGTGTGCTTTCTCTATAGTAAAAATAAAAGAAAGATGAGTGGGGATTAATAAACTGACTCTGTCTGGGAGAAAGCCATTTCGTCAAGGGGCTGAGTGTGGGAGTTGGGAGAAAGCCATTTTGTCAAGTGGCTGAGTGTGGAAGTTGGTAGCGATTTCATTATAGCAACGGAATTTTCATCACTAGTTGTTAAATACCCCAATATCCCTCATGAATTGTTCAGATTATTGTCCAATTCCTACTTACTTGTAGACATTTAGCGACATCAAAAGCATTCAGTGGTTCTGCTGTATGCACTAGGGGGAAAAGCTGTCTGTTTTTATGTATATATCAGAAAGCAAGGTAGGAATACTGTAGTTTAAAAGAATTTGACACATAGCATATTTATGAATGAAAAGTCAGTTTTCTTGCTTTCATCTTCCCCTGCATTTAAAATTTTCGCACGTCATCAGGATTGCTGAGCAAAGAATTAATGGTGAATAGTCTAGCCGTGTAACTACAGTGTGCTCTATGTACTGTACTATAAAACATGAAAATTCTCCAAAATACTTACTGTATCAGCCAAAACGAGGTCCCCGGAGCACACAAGGGGAAACATGAGCATCGCAGGCAGTGTCACCCCACATTGCATTTTGTATTTGTCTGTATCAAGATTTACCCTCCCTGTGTCTCGACTTCTGGAGTTTCTAGATAGATGGTAATGGTATGGGTGATCTTATTTCTGAAGCTAAGACTGCGTTCAAGCCCCTGGAGTTTATAGGTTTTTCATTTTGTTTCAGATTAAGATTATAATAGGTGAGACAGTTGTAGTCTCAGCACCTCAACCCCTGGATTACAAAGCTGCTTGGGTCACTTTCACCCCCTTTAGTTGATATCAGCTCCTCTGTGTGGCTTTTGAGAGTATCCTGGGGAGTTTGCAGGGCCCCTGCCCACAGAGCGTTGCTGTTCATTAGAAATCTTTTGGGTTATTAAAGATATTGTGGAATAGTTTTCTCTACAAGAAACTATTTGTTTATTTGGATCCACTTTGAAGATGTACCTGAGTTTATCTTGGTGAATAACAGAATCTCACCAAAATACAGAGAGGCACCATGCTGTTAATATAGCAGGAGACCAAACCTTGTAGCATGTCACCAAATGGTCTTTCATTTGCCTCAACAACAGATAAAACTCAAGACAATTTATCCTGATGCTGGTCTTTAAAATATTGCTATAGGACCATTTTGATGTGCTGATAAGAGTAAAATTGTATATAGATATGGATTTTAAATATATATGTATATGTATATATATGCATATATATATATATATACACAAATATATATATGCTCTGAAGAATTTTAGTTTTTTTTTTTTTTTTAGTATCAGGGATCAAATTTGAGACTTTGTAATTGCGAGGCAGGTGGTAGCACCACTGAGCTAAATCTCTGGCCTGTCTAAATTTTAGCTATTTTTGTGAAACATTTCTTAGTCTTATCATAATTTAAAAAGCGTGCAGATAATTAGTTGAAAATTAGGTTTATTTCCTCGATGCATATCTATTTTTGTATATCATTTTGAAGTTATGTTTAGTTGTTTCCTTATTCATTATCTATCAAAAGGTGAATTATTTTAATGTCTCATTAATTATTTTAATAAATGATCAATATTTTTGAATAACTGTTTCTAACAATGTAAATTGACAATATTTCTTACAAGAAATTCTCTGAGAATAACTGAATAAGCCTTATTTAAATTATAAATAAGAAAATATTTTTCTAGAATGAACTTTCTCATCTTCATTTTAAAGGTACTTAGTCATGGAGAAAAATATAGATTAATCTTTCTTTTTGCTTCGCTTTTCTGCACAACCATTAGCCCAAGAGTTAGCCCTAGTTTAACCAATCCTGCTTCGTACCCAGCCGGAAAGTCCCTGCTACCAGTCATTGGGGCTTCCACTTGTTGGCGGGCTTCCTGAAAGGAAGTGTGGTTACAGAATGGCCTTTCTGAAAATCAGTGAACCGCTATGTCAGGCAGTTGATGAATGCTGATATGGCTGCTTTGAAAAACAGAAC